CCCCCCCCCCCCCCCCCCCCCAAATTTGATACTCTTCAAAATGATCCAAAGTTAGACTCTGTTAGGCCTATTTTCCTCAAACTAGAAGAAATACTTCTAAATATTTGCAACTTGCATTTCCACTGTGTTTTGGGATACAAGACAAAGTTGAACTTCTTGTCCTTTGTTTTAGCAAACACATCGGGCTTGAAAAAATTGAGTTGGCTGATGTGATACACAGAGCTTCAGCTATGTCAGAATTACCACACAGAAAAAGAATTTCTAAGCCATTATCAGTTATATTTCGGTCTTTTGCAAAGGGTGCCTTAAATCCATTCATTCACTGATCTAACAAGGATGTGAATGCAAGAAAAGGACAGTATTGAAAAACTAGGAAGAAATGGGGTTTGGGGATGGAGTGAGGAAAGAGGTAAGGGCATATGGAAAACTACAGAGCCTGGTAAGGGAGTTAGATCAGTGGTTCTCAACCTTTTTAATGCCGCGACCCCCAACCGGTCGTAAGTCGAGGACTAAACCGGTCGTAAGTCGAGGACTAAACCAATCGTAAGTTGAGGACTACCTAACCGGTCGTAAGTCGAGGACTTTCCCTGCCCGGGAGCACCGCGCATGCATGGTTCCGCCCCCTGCGCCGGCCGAGGCATAGCTGGCAAGCGGCAGAGACGGAGCAGGCCGACCACCAGCTGGCTCAGCTCAAGGGAAGTAAGGCACCCGCCGGAAAAGGGGGAAAAAAATGGCGGACAGCCTTGCTTGGTGACCCCCGTGAAATGGTCGATCGACCCCAAATGGGGTCGCGACCCATAGGTTGAGAACCGCTGAGTTAGATGGAAGTGAGGACAACAGGGAAGATAGTCAGAATACTAATTTCTTTCCTTCCTCCATCATTTTTCTTCACCATTTCTAAGATGCTTGTCCCATATTTCTTAAAGGACAAGTTCATGGCAATATTTTCCTGCATTGGAAGGCAGCCACCAAGCCAGGACTGGGCAATTGAAGAGCCAAGTGTAGTCCTTCAAACCATCTCTTGCCACTCTTTCTGAAAACTGGTTGCAGTTTTATAAACATTGCAGACAGGAAATATGAATTAACGTACAACAATATTCAGCATTAACGTAGAATATGTTTGACCTGATTTAAAGAAAAAGAAAATCATCCAACTTTTAAAAACTCAAAGGAAAAAAATATCCAGAAAATTCCAATGATTTTGGGATTTACTGGATTCCCTCCAACAATCAGCCATCCCTTTGGCCAATTACCCAGAAAGTGTTAGGTACATTGCCTACCAGTGTAACAGACATGTCTGTAGATCATCTGGTTTTCATTTAACCACAAATAGTAAGATCAAAAGTAGAAGTCTTTAGCAGTTGGGAAAGGTCACAAAGGTTTAAGGTAAGTTACAAGATCAAACAACATGGGCCAGCCCCAACTGGCTTATAGCAGTTAAAGTGAAAGAGAAACCAATGCATTCCCCATGCCAACTGCCCTTTCATGAGATGGTTCTACACCACATATTCCTGAACAGAAATGTGCTTCCTTTATTACAGGGGTGTCAAACTTGCAACATCACATGACGTGTCCCGACTTTTTCCCCATTGCCGGAGCTGGGGTGGGTGCGGTTTTGGCATGATGCATCTGGCCCGTGGGCCGGCAGTTTGACACCCCTGCTTTATTAGAATCATGATTCTGGATAAAATCTCAAGTCATGATTAAATCAAACACACTACAGCAAAAGTACAGTTATTTTATTAATAGTAGCTTATATTTTCATTCCAAACTTCGTACGGGGCAATCTTCGTTTACAATATATTTCAGACCATGAAGCAAAATTTGCCACGTTGCCCTCTTCTTAAGGCTTTAGAAAAGTGCTCTGCAGCAGTGGGGAGGGCCAGATGTATGGACTTCACCTCCCAGAATTCTCAGCAAGGGCCAGCGGCTGGCTGGGTAATCACACAAGTTGGTCTGCACACTTGGTAGTTTCCAAGATTTGGAGTCACCGCTTTAGAACAACCTATTGAAGTTACAAGGCAGTTCTCACTTTTCCCCTCAACCAAGTGCTTGAAATATACGGGGTGGCTACGGATCACTGAAAATGGTTTATTCTACAAATCAAAAACACAAACATAACTCGTATTTTAACAAATATAATCTTGCCTTTAATGAATACACCTTTTTAATAAGCAAAGGACTATGATGCCAGTATATTTGTTAGTTTTTGCTTTGATCAGTGTCACTGCTCATCCTCTTTCTGTGTTTAACTTTGAAAACAACAAAAAGTCAAAATCCTCATTTCACATAGGTAAAAAAGCCTTGCTTAAAACAGCCTCTGTTACTCTAAATGCCAGTCGAACGGAGGGCTCAATTCAGAATACAGGCCTGACTTCATCTGTCTCAAAACAGAACAAAGCTGCTCATAGGCTTTAGTTTCAGAATCTTTGGATTATACAACAGCTGTTAAAAACATACTAATGAAATGATCAACAACAAAACAAACATGATTGTGGGGAAAAAAGTGTTAGGAGGAGAAAGTGAATACAGACCCAGAAAAAAAATGCATGGGAAAAAAATCACAGGCGAAACGAAGTTGTCAGATAAAACACAATACTTAACTTATATCCATTTAATTCTTCCTTTAGTTATGCCCAGAACAATCCAGAGATGATTATTTCCCAACCCATTTGGCAAGCCAGCTAACACTTTTTAGTTGTCCAGGTTTTGTACTTATTTTTTGTCTTCAAAAACTGAAATGTCTGCACTCCTTGTCTTAATCAGATTGCTAGAAAAATAGGTACAAGGCCAGACTAGACAGCACGGCTATACTCAGTGGATGGCTGGTCTGAAGGTTTACATGAAACGAAGCCAACTTCTGCCAGATTACTCTCTTGCTTTAAGAATTTATTTTCAGCTCAATTACCATCTTAGAAATAAGCTGAGTTCAGAACATTCTTTCTAACAACAGAGCATTAGCTAGAATCTCAGTGTTTCTCAACCTTGACAATTTTAAGGCATGTGGACGTCAACTCCCAGAATTCCATAGCCAGCATTGCTGGCTGTGGAATTCTGGGAGTTGACGTCCACATGCCTTAAAATTGTCAAGGTTGAGAAACACTGAGCTAGATGAAGTGGAATAGTGCTTTCTCATGTACGCTCAACACTTCATGAAAAAAGAGTTCTACTGACTTTATTATTCTTGTTGCTACCTTGTTCTTATCAAATTTGGTCTCATATTTGCCACTGATTCTGCAGCGTTAGGTTAAAGCCGCAATAGCAATACAGGTAGCTAAAGCCATTTCACAAACTTGTTGCTGATTTACTGTGCTTGGGTTGGTCTGGAAGCTGCTGATCTGAAA